AGAGAAATTGTCTTCACTCTTCACAACCTAATGATTGCCTTTTTATGATAGAATATCCGTTTATTCGAAGTTTGAAGATACCAAGATACTGTCCAACTCTACTAAATAAAGCTCGAGGCTTTACATTGATTGAACTGCATAGACTAACGCAACTCTCAGTACTCTGATTCTTGTTGCTTTTTCTCTTCTTAAAATGCCCCTGTTTTGTACGATAAGAATATTTTACGGTCTTCTTTTCCCCTGTTTTTCTCTGATTCTTCTACTGTTCTGTTCCTGCAATGGTTACAGTGATTTGAAGGTCCTGTTGAAGCTCAAGAGTTCCATGACTGGACCGAGAGGGTCGGGACTGGATGACTGGGAGGATTCGGAGTCTCTTTCAGCGCATTGTCATTTCTCTGGTGTTGGATGTGATGAGGAATACCGGGTCGTTTCTCTGAATGTGTCGTTTGTTCCTCTGTTTGGTGTGTTTCCCCCGGAGGTTGGGCTTTTGGATAGGCTTGTGAACCTGACGATTGCGGCTAATAATCTTAGCGGAAGGATTCCGGTGGAGGTGGGGAATTTGACATCTCTGAGGGTTTTTAACATTTCCAACAATGCATTCAATGAGAATTTCCCTGGGCAAATTTTTCGGAGCATGACTCAGTTGGAGGTTCTTGATGCTTACAACAATAACTTCACAGGGCCGCTTCCGATTGAGATCGTGGACCTCAAGAATCTCCGGTATCTCTCTTTTGGAGGCAACTGTTTCACTGGTGAAATACCGGAGAGGTATACTGAGATTCAGAGCTTGGTGTACTTGGGTCTGAACGGCATCGGTCTCATCGGAAAATCGCCTGCGTTTTTGGCTCGTTTGAAGAATCTTGAAGAGATATATGTTGGATATTACAACACCTACATCGGAGGCGTTCCGTTTGAGTTTGGTACGTTGAGTAAACTGCGGGTTCTAGATATGGGAAGCTGCAACCTCACAGGTGAGATTCCGGCAAGTTTGGCCAATTTGAAGCACTTGGATACATTGTTCCTTCAAATGAATCGTCTCACCGGTCTACTTCCTCCGCAACTGTCCGGTCTGATTAGCTTGAAATCACTTGATGTTTCTATAAACGAGCTCACTGGAGAGATACCGGCGAGCTTCTCCGCGCTGCAGAACATTACGTTAATCAATCTCTTCGAGAACAACTTCCACGGCCGAATTCCGTTGTTCATCGGTGATTTTCCTTACCTCGAGGTTCTTCAGGTGTGGGGAAACAACTTCACGTTTGAACTGCCGCAGAATCTGGGCAGCAACGGGAAGCTTCAGAAGCTCGACGTTTCTTCTAATCACCTCACTGGATTGATCCCTTCGGATTTGTGCAAGGGAGGAAATTTGGTTATGTTGATTCTCATGAACAATATCTTCAACGGTCCACTTCCAGAGGGAATCGGTGAGTGCAAGTCTCTTACCAAGATTCGAATAATGAAAAACTTCCTCAATGGAACGATCCCCACCGGCCTTTTCAACTTACCGCTAGTAACACAAATGGAGTTAGATGACAATTTGTTCTCCGGTGAACTGCCTTCAGAGATGTCGGGTGCCAAGCTTGGCCAGCTGAAAATGTCCGGTAATAAGATCACTGGAAAAATCCCTCCAGCCATAGCGAATATGACTAGATTACAGACCCTGTTTCTCGACGCAAACAGAT